GCCCTGCTCCCAAATAGACTGTCCAATTTTTATACCCTCTCTGGAAGGAGGTGCTTCTGCAGAGAAAGAGACTTTCTTTGCGGATAACCCCACTCGCTTCCCCCGCATCAGAAACCCATGTTCTTTTGCTTTCTTCTCAGTGACCGCAGAGACCACCAGGCTCCTCCAGAGACTCTAGTAAAGACGTTTCCGGCTTTGATTTGTAATTCAGTTGAGAGAGTTGGTTTGGGGCCTAGAAGACTCATGATTAAGTTTCACAATTTCCATGTCCGTTCTCCCCATTTCCATGCCACTGAGGAGAAAATGTAATAATCATCCTTTCTGCACAAAGTTTTGAAAGTCAAGGAAAGTAATCCATGTTATGCATATTGTCTGATTTCCATCAAACTATAAGAGTAAGTTACAGCTCCTTTTGACCCTAACCAATTAATTAGTTAGCCTCTTTCCAACCCTGCTCCCTTCCAGATGCTGTCTTCTAGAAAGGAAAAAAAAAAATGTTTAAGACTGGAAGGAGGTAACTTTTTTTTAATATATTTTTTATTGATTTCAGAGAGGAAGGGAGAAAGATAGAAACATCAATGATGAGAGAATATCATTGATTGGCTGCCTCCAGTGTGAGGACCAAGCCACAACCTAGGCATGTGCCCTTAACTGGAATCGAACTTGGGACTCTTCAGTCTGCAGGCTGATGCTCTTTCCACTGAGCCAAACTGGCTAGGGCAAGGAAGGAAGTAACTTTTTAAGAATATGGGAGAATGACTACTACATTTTGAATGATTTTAATCTCCAATACAGGTTTGCCTAGCATGGTGGTGATGGCTTTTTTATGTGAGTTTCAAATAGAGAACTTTTTGGTGAACTTTCCTCATGGATCTACAACCTATTGTTTACATGACTATTTTTTCTCCTGTTGAGGACAATTTAGTCCTATTTTCTTACAGCTGACCATATGTATGTTTCCCTCTGACATCTTCTCCATTGCTTGAACTAGAGCCAAACGCATCCCATGTGTAATCCTGTTCATTTATTTATCCTCTTTATGAAAACATTCTAAATAAATGTGGCACAATAAGTGACAAATCATTTCAATGGGTATTTTATTCTAAAACAATATATCTACCTACCAGAAAGTTTGTTGAGAATTTAAAACTCATGCAAATTTAAAAGGCCTAATAAAACTGATAGCAATGTTATGATTGGCCCCGGAGATTATCAGGATAACTGGGCTGCTTCTCATGATTGATGCCAGGGGCAAGCTTCAGCAGGAGGAATATTAATAGCTCAGTGAACACAAAAGCAAGAAACTGAACTGAACCATCCAAACTGTGGTGTCCGCTATAGTGCTAAGTTTAAGCTTAGAACAATATATGATGTTTCTCTGATCTTCAAGTGGATTGTATCAGGGAGGTTTGGAAATCAGACAGTATCTGAGGATAGAGAATCCTTATCCTTTCAAAGGTAATGATAGTCACAGAATGATGAGAAAATTCATGAAATGTGAGCCCAAGAATTGTTCGGAAGAATAGCTTCATTTAGACATTAGCTAACTTCTTGACTCACTCCTTCCTTCAGGGAGATCTTTATCCACTCCTTCCTTCAAAGTCAAACGGCCTAAGTCCTGGCCGGGGTTGCTAAGTTAGAACATTGGCCCTGGCACCAAGGGGTCCTGGGTTCAGTTCCCAGTCAAAGGCACATACCTTGGTTGTACAATAGATTCGATCTCCAGCCCAGTCAAGGTGCATGCAGGAGGCAACCAGCTGATCTCTCACATTGTTCTCTCTCTCTCCCTCCTTCCTTCCCTCTCCCTTCCTTCCTCCCTCCCTTCTCCCCCACCCTTTCTCTTTCACTCTAAAATATCAATGCAAAAAATATCCTCAGATGAGGATTAATAAAACAAACAAATAGCAAAAATGCTCAGCTGCCTAAAGTTTCAGCACCCTCAGGTCCATGTGCCCACAGCAGGCCTCCGGAGTGGCAGCCACCTTCACTGGGCTACATTTAACTGCACATTGGGCCTCAGGAGCATGAACCAGGCTGTGGCTTCAAACTGGACTCTACATTCTGGTGTGGTGGGTTTTCTGGCCCAGGGCTCTGGCCTCTCTAACTCATCTCCTTGCTTCCTGCCCTTCTGACCCGGGTCACTCAGAAGGGGGGCCCTCCTTCTCACAGCTCCCCCGGAGGAGTACGTGAAGCAGGCCGGCGGCTTCCCTGCTAGTTGAGAAAACGGACTGTGCTCTGCTCCGCAAACCTTGCTCTGCACACTGCCCACCAGAGCATGCAGAAGGGAGAGAGAAGGGCCTATCTCTTGTCTTAAGTCTAAGCCACGTTCTGCAGAAGAATTTACCAGATGTTCTACATTTGAGGTATTTGCTGGACACGTACCAGCCAGTAATAAAGACAACCCTTTGGTCCCACTTTGTTGGCAATCCTTATATAACTCTTCCATCAGCCAGAACCTTTAAGAGGAACGGGTTGCATTAAGCCCCTAATACATTTGTGAAGACATGACTCAGACTAATGCGACAGTCCCCAAAGTACCCACAAGGAGACAGAGACTCCTATTGCAACCACGGCGGCTGATATGAGTAGCTACATGAGCATGGCCTTGGCCATGGCCAGTGTACCAGGTCACAGCAGCTTTCTCTGTAGAGTTAGCTGCAATATCAAGCACAACAATGACGAATCCTCAGGTGCCAAACAACGGATATTAAGAGAAAAATTCTATTCTAAGAATCAGAAGTAGCTTTTCTCTGGTGCACACAATGAGCAAGCAGAAACTTGGCCTTGAGCTAAGCCAGAGATGAGAGGGAAGCTCTCACAATGGCCTTGGATCTGAAAGGCAATTCTGCTTCTCAAGGACTTTGGAGCGCTGGTGGAGAGGCTGAGGAGCTTGTCAGTTAAAATCGAACTTTTCTTCAAGCAGAGGGGAGAGGCACAGTGGCTAGAGAAGGGGGGTCCCAGCGTGGGAGCTTCCAGATAGGGTCCCAGCTTCCCTTTCTCAGGTGAGGCCCAGGGACCAGCAACCAAGGCCGTCAGAGGCTCGGAAGTATTATCTTAGAATCCCAATCTCAGAGAATGGCACAGCCACTTGCCCAAGTCAGAAACCTGGCTCTCATTCGCTTCCCATCACAACCCACATCCAAGTTTATCCTGTTCATAGCTCTGCCCGTGTCAACGTGCTAGGTCGGGTACTACTTTCTTACCTGGAAATGCGAAGGCCCAAGTAACTGGTCTCCCTGCCCGTGGTGAGTTAATAGAGCAACTTTTCAAAAACATCGAACACGGCACTTGGTTTAAAACCCCTCAGTAGTTTTTTATGGCCTTTGATGTAAAACCCAAAACATTGACACAGAATCTCTCCAGCTGTAATTTGGCTTGAATTCTACATCAGTTAGCTGATTTCGGATTGGTCTTCGAAAGCCAACTGAAGTATCATTTCCTCTAGCCATCAGACAACCCCTCCCAGCTCATTAAATGCTTCTTCCTCCGTGCTCCTGTAATCCTTTCTGAAACCTGAGGCTCTTATCTCAGCACAATGATGCTGGGTGACATGGCCATCTCCTCCACCGGCGGAAAAGCTCAAATGCGGGGACCAGACTGAAAGGTCCCAGGTTCGATTCCGGTCAAGGGCATGTACCTTGGTTGCGGGCACATCCCCAGTAGGGGGTGTGCAAGAGGCAACTGATCGATGATTCTCATCGATGTTTCTAACTCTCTATCCCTCTCTCTTCCTCTCTGTAAAAAATCAATAAAATATAAATTTAAAAAACCTGACATGCATAATTTCAAAAACAGAGAAGAGTAAAATGAGCAGAAAATCTGTTCTTTTACAACAAGAAACGCTGACCAGCCTATTCTTTGCATTAAGTGGGAATGTGTGACTTTGCAGCCCATTATAAATAGCCATTCTTTACATCAAGAAAACAGGGAAAAGAAAAGAAGTAAATATCATGAATGCAGAAATGAGGAATGACCTACACATGGGGAGCAATTCAAGAGACAGAGTGACATGGAGGGGAAAATCCTAGTTCAAGAACGAAGGACAAGATCACAATAAACCTCTGAGAACATGAAATTGAGTGTTTCTGAGTTTGCACATCTATTGTGATGAAGAGCTGACCATGTTATAAATCCTTCGGCATCAAAATTCAAATATGTCTACATGGGAAATGTTCCAAAGCATGTCAAGTCTGTTTATACAATGGGTCAATAAGCACACAGATGTTACAAATATTCCTCACAAAGGTATATTTGCCGAAAAGTGTTCTAGCCCAAATGAGATTTAGTCTGCATAGGACTAGAAAGAAAGAAAAAAAAAGCTTATGTTTACATTCTTCTTAACCTAGAAACATACCTGTGATAAGAAAGGTTGTTATATCAAATTCACACATTACTGTTTGCATTCATTACTAGTAACAACACTTACAAATAGGACACTGACACCAAACTTAGTAAAATGTCTTTTTTAAAATTCAAATTTATTATGGCTTTAAGGAAATATGTGATTAGGCATCCAAGCTCTCTTTAAATCACATTTTTTAAATTATCCATTGTACTGTTCAACGCTGTATACACTTTAGTTTTCAATATAAAAAAATGAGCCACGTATGATTTTATGTGTTCATGCAGACTGAAGAAGAAATGATACTGAGTCAAACTCCCAAACCCAAACATCTGGGGTAACTGAGTCAAATATCTTAAAGTTGGTTTATTCTGTGTTTGTTTATGATGTGTGTATATTGATTACAATTATTACATGAGCACCCAACTGAGCTGAAAGCTGATTGCTATCCAAACTCATCAAGTTCAACAATTCCATCATCTCCTCCCTATTACAAAACCAGATATTTAAATAGTACCAGTAGTGCAGAACCAGTATGACCCTGACTATCTTTCTTTAGCAATAATGTCTACTTCTGGATTGTTGGCTAGGTCTAAAGCTAAGAGTGGAATCTGGCTTCCTCCCAGAGCATCTAAAATGAACCCCTACGAGTACGGTCTTGGACAGACACACCCTGAGGGCTGCACTCTGTAAAACAGAATTATCTGAGGTTGATTCCAAACACCACCTCCCCTCCCAAACAGGACTAGCTTTGTACACAGCCACAGTCTTATGCTGCACGCTCCTCAAACAAATGTTGCTATAGTCCACCACAGATCAAAATAAAAAGAAAATTAGAAAAAGACTTAAAAAAAAAAAAAAACTCTTAAGATCCAACCCAAGCCCAAGGTTTCATTTTAGTCTTTGATTAAAAAAAAAGAGAGATGTCACATAAGCACTGATTCTGTGAAAAGACTTGAACACCCACTTTAGTGTCTGTCCAACCTACGTCCCCACCACGTGGCTGGCAGGACTTTTTCAGGTGTGATTAGTCCGATTCTGTGTTTGAGAAATCAGTAGGGCTCGTTTCCTCTGGATGTGTGTCTTGTGACCCCAGAATGCACAGCGTTTCCTTGGATCTTCACAACGGTGCTCTGAGATGGGCAGGACAGGTCTACCCCCTCCAATTTGCTGATGAGCTTACGAGCAGGCCACATACCAAGCGCTCCCTGTATGAACAGCTGTGACCCAGAACCAAATGCTCAATCAAGAACCTCCATTCTTCATGCAAAAGCACCAAAAAGACGTGCAATTACTAATTTACTAGCCAATCTATGGATTTGAACATGTGGATGCCATAATCTCCATGGAGGGTGGCCACACCCCCTTAAATCTAGACCAAAATCGAGAGTTCACTTGCAAATCATGGCCACAAATCTGCCCTTCACTTGTCTTAAACTACTAAACACCTAACTGGCCCTCTCTAGAATCCTACTTTTCTGGTGTGCATGAGAAAGGAACTTAAGAATGCACAGCTGCCATGAGAATGACATGAGAGGATGCTGCTAGAATCTTACAAGCCCGGGGGAGAAAGAACAAAGCCCCAAGGAAGTTACTAGGAAGTGTATATGATATTTGTATTACCTTTAAGAGTTTAAACATAAGAAATAAAAATCATACCATTTATTGTTTCTTAAATGGCCTATCAAGGTTACGTGACTATACTACTTACTTAAATTAGAACTGCATGATTAAGGTGATTTACTGAACATATACTTAATTCCTCTCTATGAAGACTGCTTTAAATCTACCAAAAGAGATTCGTCATCCTCTACTCTCACCTGGGGCTTAAAAGTAACTCTTAAAGGCTCAGGAGTTGTGATTTCCCCCTCTTCGCTGGAAGGATGCACCACCCTGGCCTCCTCGTGGTCTGTTTCGCTGAGCTCATTGCCGTAGAGCTCACTGATGGGGCTCAGAGACTGGCTCCCGGCAATGATGTCCACGCCCATCTCCCTGGTCTCTCCTGGCCCTTCGGCCACTGTTCCCATTCCTCCTCTAGCTTTCCGAAGGCCACGCATCTTAAACGTGTCCTTCGAGGGAGCTGCATTAGAAATAGATTGCTTAAACCTTTCCCCTGACTGTTTCAGCCTCTCTCCTGACTGCCTCAACCTCTCCCCTGACTGCCTGAGCCTCTCTCTCCTCTCTGGGGTCACTATTCTAGTTCGCATTCTGTTGACTTTCTTGTCAAAATTCTGCCGCGTCTTCTGCATGTTTTCTTTGGAAAATGCCTTTTTGATATTATCTATGCGCTCCTTGCCTGACTTTCTAAACCTTGTGGATCTGCTTTCTTCAATGTAATATTCTTCATCCGAAGACAGCTCTATTGGGGGATCAAAGACATCTTCATCGTCCTCCTCTTGATTCTCAGTTATGCTTTTGTCTTTAACAATAGACAGGGATGTTGGACACCGAATATCCTCCTGGAGGAAAAAGGAAGCATGTTAGAGACCAGTTCTTTTGCCTTCTGCTGGGCCTTTACATCTCCTCCATAGGCTGCTTATCCTCTGCCCACTTCTCTTATTAAAAAATGTTTTTAATGACTCTTAGAGAGAGGAGGAAGGAGAGGGACAGAGAGATGGAAACATCCATGAGCTGAGAGAGCAATATCGTCGGCCAGCTGCCTCTTTCACATCCTCTACCGGGGATCAAGCCAGTGACCTATTGGTTCCTGGGTTAACACCCAACTGGTGAGCCATACTGGCCGGGTTGCCTACTCCTGAAATGTTGGTATTTCTCCAGGTTCTCCTCTCCTTAGCCCTTTTTCCTTCTTCATCCCCCAACCTTATCCAAGCCTCTGCCTTAAGATCCAATTATAAGCAAATTCACAAATATTTTCATCTTTCCCTTTCTCCTAAGATGAAGACACGTTTTTAAATAATGGACAGACCCCCTCCACCTAGTAGCATGAGTATCTCAAACTTAATTCATCATCCTCTCCACAGCTACTTCCCTTCCTGAACCTCTCAGCACCCATACCCATCCAGGTGCCACTCAGCTAGAAACCTCAGAGTCATCGTCCCAAATATTTTCTCTCCTTCCCATCCCATATCTAACAGCTCACCAAGTACTGTCAATAATACTGCTTAATAACTCACCTGTTCTCTCCTCCTTCCTCCCTGCCTCTACCAAGGTTTTAATTCAGGTTCTTGTCACCTGAGGTCTGAATTTATGTAATACTTCTACCTCCAAAATATCACCTTAGTATTTCCTGAGAAATATATCTAAAGCACAGCTCTGATCACATCCTTTTTCTACTTTAAAACTTTTAGGAGCTCATCAATACTCAAAGGATAGTGTTCAAACTCTTAGTATGATTCAGTTTGAGCTAAGCCATGTTCTCCCCAGTCCAGCAACACACAACTACTCTCGGTTCCACCAACAGGTAATGCAAACACTGTATAGGTGGGTCTTACATCCTTAAACACCCCTTGATCTCTTGTTCACCTTCGTAAAAAAATATCTCTCTTTATGAATGGGTTCAAATGTCCCCAATTTCCCCAAGAGGTTAATTGTGTCTCCAATTTATATCAAAATGACACATGCATACCTCTATTTATAGCATTTATCACAGTCTAAATTAAATTGGAACCCTGCTTATTTATAAATGTCTCCCGGGGGCTTTCACTTAATGAAAAGTGCATGAAGAAAAAGATGTGTCTTATGTTTTATGCCCAAGATGACTGTTGAGATAAATAAGAGGCCATATCTTCATCCAACAAATGGTAACTAAGCACCTACCATGCACTAAGAACTGAGGACCTCCTCCTGTGAGGAAAACAGAGCAGAAGAGCTTATATTGATAGTTTCAGAGAGAGAGACAAGTTAAATGTAAAGTATGTTGGATGGTGGGAAGTGCTTAGAGGTGAAAAATAAAGCAGGGAAGGGGGAGATACAGTGACTAGGAAGGAGACTCGAAAAGGCCTCACTAATAAGGTGACATTCTAGCCAGGTAATGGGTATTTTTGGAAGGGAAGGAGAAACAGCAAGGTGGATGAAGTGGCTGGAGCAACGTGATCAGGGGGCAGGCAACAAAAGAAGGAGAGAGGGCAAGAGAGGTAACAGGAGGGCTAGATCATGTAGGGCTCTGTATCCAATATGTTGAGTGTGAGAGGAAGCCTTTAAGAGTTCTGAGGAGAGAGGTGCCATGATGTGGCCCATGTTGTAAAAGGATCAGTCTGTTGAAAATAGGCTATGGGGGCAAGACTCTAAGAAGCAGGGAGAACTGTTAGAGACCACTGAGACAAGTCAGGTGAGAGTGGGTCAGGGTGTTGGCAGCAGTGGTCAGAAGTGGTCTGATTCCACTTTGAACATAGAAGGCAACAGGATTTGCTGGTAGATTTGGATGTGAGTGTTAAAGAGCATTATCATTTGGTGACCTCAAGTGATAATTCTCAAGTACATGGTCTGAGCAATTGAAGGACAGATTTTTCCTTAAAAAAGATGACAAGACAGCAGGAGGAAGAGACCAGAAGGAAAAGGTGAGATCTACATGTGATGGATCTGAAATGCCTCCTGGAAATCTAAGCAGAGACGTTGAGTAGACAGCTGTAAGTATGTAAGTTGGGATTTTAAAAGGGAGGTCTGGACTAGAGATAAACATTTTGGAGTCACTAACATAAGGATTAAATTAGAAATCATGAGATAAGGTTAAAACTATCATGAAGACATTGAGTGAATGAGTCTACATTCTATTATTCAAACTCTTTGGGACCAAGGTGTGTTTCAGAGTTCAGAATATTTCAGATTTGGAAAAAAAATAATATAACATTCCCAGTGAGATCTTGGGAAGAAGCATTTTTGTGGAAAAAAATATATGAACATTCACTCTAAGGTGGGTTAAAGACTATAAACAGCCTCATGCTATCTCAGGTCAGATTTTGTCATCGATCAAGATTGGGTCAAGTAAGGTCTTGCTGCCAAATAAGTTATTAAATCATATAGGTTTTGGTGTTATAGATAAATGGATTTCGGATTTGTAGGTAAGAAGAGATGAGAAAACCAAGAGGAGAAAGATCAGCCAGTGAAGCAGGAAGAAATCCAAGAGAGTAGCAGCCTTACCCCTACCTCCCTGCAGCTAAGGGAAAAGGAATTTCAAGAACAGAGGGAGGGACAATCAAATGTGTCCAAGGACAATGAGAATTAGATTTGGGAACACGGACACTGGTGATCTTACCAGCCCAGAAACACAGCTGCTAATGGAACCCAACTACTTAGGGATTATTTCTAAAACTAAACAGGGAAAACTTTGGAGATTATGAGACTTTTCACTGAACCCCCGAGTTAAAATTCCCTAATTAAGATTGTGCTCCTACTTAGTAGCCAGAGTAAACCTGTTCAAAAGAAAATTAATAAAATGTAAGAAACACGTTGACATATATTCCAAAACCTACCAGACGGATAGTGAAGAAGAATCAATCCATGGAACCTTATTTCTTTTGATATGTATTTAAAATTAAAATCTTTGACTACAGGACTAGAGAATGTAGGAGCTTTTTAAAGAAGGGCAGGGTGGGCGTCTCATAGCTCTCTGATGAATCAGAAGCACCGAGATTATTCCTCTTTTCCTGACACCTGTTGCAGGGAGTAGCTTCACCAACAGCAAGTGGGTGGGTATGGCCTGAGAAGGTATAATTAGATAAGGAAAGAGCCAAAAAATAATTACTGCCTGGTAGGGGGGAAATCCTGCTGTGAAATCAGATATAACTCAGAAATCAAATATAACTCAGAAATCAGATAGGGCTCAGAAATCACATACCCTTCTTCCATTACACAACAAATTATACAAAAGCAGACAACAGAAAACAGAGATAGAGTCAGGGACACTACTTGTTATATGAATCCATTTGTTGTAAATCCCATGAGTCAGAGATACATGAGTCAGTAGTGAACACACTGTAATAATAATTGAAGTCTATGGGGTTGGATTATAACTGATTTCCAAATATGATAATTACATATTTTTATGTATAAGTCCAAGTGTGTTTTAAAAAAATGAATTTTACAACAAAATGAGTACTTTGGGTCAGACTTGAATATTACAGTAATATAACTAGGGGAATTTGGAATATATAGAAGTCTGGGATTTACCATTAGGGAATGGCAAAGATTTCACTCGGTGACCACAGGCCTGTGCTTAGTAAGCAAAATTGTTCTAAGATATGCTAAGACTCCTGTTTTGTATGATCAAAAGGTCATCAAAGTGAAAGTATGTTCAAAGAAAAATGATAATTGTATGATAAATAGATAATTTTTTTAATGCCAATGTCCAATGTGTGGGTAAAAGCTCAGCCACACACAACTGTGGGACATAAAATACCAATAAAGGTTGCCACCAAAAGATATATGGAGGGAAAAGTTTTAGAGGAAGGACCCAAATGGAAACGCACATATCCTATTGCTGAATTAGCTTCAAGTTAATTTCAGTAGAAGGAGCATTCTCAATATAACCACTTACACATATGAACTATGAGAATGAATGACAAGAACTTTAAAAACAATCATGTGAATATTGTATTGTGTTCCAACATCTAATGAATCATCAAATATGAGTTCTATGTCCACTGTTATTTGCCTTCGTCTTTTCCCTACCATTGTAGTTGACTGCTCGTTGACTAACCGCTGCTTACTCCGAAAACTTAATTTCACGAATCTTCACAGCACTCTGTCTTACAAGGAAAGGTATCTGACCTAACTAGTGCCTCTCAGCGATTTTTTCATAGGATCTTCTATTCATTCAAGTAATTATAGGGGCTCAAAGACAGGGGGGGAAATAGCAGGTTACAGGGAATGAATGGTGAATAAAAACAGAAACATCATAACTTAAAAAAAAAAAAAAAAAAGAATTACGTCAATAGACAAACAAGAGACCATTAGAACTTTTCAGGAACGTCTGTGCTCTAGCCTCTGTATAGCTTGACTGGCACCTGCTCCATCTTGGCACGAAGGTTCTCAGGACACATGCTGGACACTAAGCATGTTTGCTGGCAGGTGGAGGTGATGTGTGCCCATTACTGCTTATGCCCTTGGAAAGGGAATTGAAGAACGGATACCACATTCTCCAACACCAAATCTAGATCCCCATTACATACACTACATTTGGAACTAGGCTCTGAAGCTAAGGTGACTAATTTTTTTTAAGTATGAAGTCTGGAGAGGAACTTTCAGGGATCTGGAAGGAAAGGGAAATGACATAGTTCCAACTATCTAACTTTGAAATAAGCAACACTTCTTTCTCCTTTCTACTCTTCTTCCTAAATAACCAACAGATTCACAATACCACTGTGTAACCTTATCAGTCAAGAGAGGGCTATGGAGAATTGACTAATGAGTAGAGAATGCTGTGGGAGGTTAGGGCCCACACGCCTAGTATCTTAAAATGATCTGCCTACATAATCCAACTGCCCTCCTATTTCATTCTGTTTTCATTCCTCTAGGGTTTTTTTTCCTAAGCATATGGGCACCCATTTTAAAAACACGGTAATGATAATCATGTATGTATGCACCATGGAATATATTACTGATTTTATACTTAGAACAAAATCTTTGACAATAATTTTTTGGGCCAAAAGATTTGTGAATGTTTAAAATTCTTAATTTGTACTAATAAAACTATCCTACAGAAATGTTGTGCCAATTAATTATCCTACTACCGTAGCAGAACAGTGAGGTGCTTGTTTTTTTCTACCCTTAAACTCTAAATATGTTATGTTTTGGTAACTGCAAGAAAGTAGGTGAAGGTGGAATTCTGCTTTTTTTATTTTGTCTTCTGTAAACTATCTGATAATGATTTTCCCGTTTTTATACCATGAAAGTTCAACTTTTTCTTTTTTATTTGTAAATAGTTTTAAACTATATTATAGATAGTATGCATTTGCTACAATTATGGTCCTAGTTAAAAAAAATATATGAGTTCAACTCTACAACAATATAGGAACTTAGCTCAATAGGTGACGCCACACAAAAACTATTGTATCAGCTAAGTAAAAAGGCTTTGTAATTAAATATAAGGAATCACTTCTGTGACTCCGACATTTGTATAACTACAGGAATAACAACAAAAATAAGAACAATTGCCTGGTTCATTGCAAAATACGGTTTCTTATTGTAACTCGCGTGTAAAAATTCCAATAGATTATATTCTGAAAAGCTTACACTGTACTGCTTAGGGTCTTCCTGGCTCTCCATAATAAGAAACACAAAACAAACCACATTGCAGGGCTACAGGTCCTCAGCTTCTTTCTGGTATAGAATGTTTTATACCAGAGGCTTCTTAGGTCTCTCCCAGTTCGAATGTTCTAAAGCCTATGTGAGGGCATCACGCTAAGATGGCCAACGTGCTGAAAGAGCTTTCCCAATATTAAGTTTCAAAGGCAAGAAATAGCCTCAGCTACAGCCCACAGTTCGTATTACACGAAATGGTAGAGAGGCTCAAAATACCGACCTGACAGTACGTTCGTTCACTTAAAAGTGGTCTGATCCTGAGACTATACGCTGATAGAGAACTCTACGACATGCACATGTACAATAGCTCCGAGGCAAGGTTTGCTAGGACTTGTTGGCAGTGAAAGCAGGCGAGGGGTTGCAGTAGTCATCAGGGTAAACCCAAGCGCAAGCTTACCTGGAATATCACCACCCGGAATTTGTTCTTCTTCATTATCTCCTCTTGCTTCGTTTCCACTTTCGTCACGTGAACTTGCTGCTTCTCCACTCGGGCCTTCACGTCCTTAATGTGGGCACTGACCTTGCGGGTTTTCTCAAAGAGCTTGTTGATGACATAGCCCGTGTTGCTGTGTGCCTGCGACAGCTTCAGCAGGTCGATCTGCACGGACTTAATGGAGTTTTCCACCACCCGGTGCCTCTCCTCGATCCTCTTCTGGCTTGCCTGCACTTTGTCCACGATGGTGGCCACTCTGTCCAGCACCGTCACGATGGTGAGGGCCGCGTCCTGGTCTTCATCTTCGGCCGACAGGCGGTTCTGGTGGATCTTCTCAGCATTTGAAGCAGACCCATTATGTTCCATTTCACTCGTGTCCCAGTTACAGAGGGCCTCCCACCACCAATCCTGGCACTGAGAGCCAACAGCCTGATAACGGGCAACGGGGCTGTTTAAAGGGTTGGAAGCCCCACCCCTGGAGACGGGTCAAGTATTTATAACTACAAACGCCCATACGTGACGGTTCTGCAATATGAGCCCTGGCAGAGCACTGGGGACTGTTCCAAACATGCTTACGGACTGACTAAGGGACCCAAATAAGACTGTGTGGATAGAGGAGAAAAGCTTTTTTTCAAAAAAGCTCAGTGAAGCCACCATGTTGCTAATATTAAGCCTAGAAGCCAAAGGACCGAAAAAGCGAACTCCAAATGTTGGGTGAGATTTTGCAAAAAAGCAAAGGGGAATTTTTGAGCAAACATCTGCTTTTTCTATTCATTTCACTGACATATCAAAGAATCTAGTAAATAAACACACCACAACGAAGGCCATATAGTGAAAACACTATATTATGACATGCTTTTCCAAATCAAATATTAAAATTAATATTCCATTTTGAACATCTTAAATTCTACATGCATATTTCTGAATTTCTAAAACTACACATTAAACAGCTGAATACATTCTACTCACACTTCAGATCTTGAAACACCAACAATCTATATTATTATAGCTATTATTACGGGACAAATTTGGATAGAGGTCTTAGGTAATTTTTAAGCTCACTTGAAGAGCACCAATGATTAATCATTTTTTGCATTTTATTCACAAACACTGATACAATTATTTATATTAAAGCAAATGTTTTTCTTTAAAAGTTAATGTGTATTTAAAGTCATTTAACTGAGAGGGTAGGCTTTATTCCAGTCTGTTTGTTAAACAGACTGTTTTCACAATGTCTACATCTACTTCCCAGTGATCTGTCCCATCACTGCTCCCAGATAGTTTTTTGAGTTACCAGAATTATTTTTTCAAAGAAAGGAATCATCAAATTCCAGTCCATACATCTTATAAATATTTTACACCTAAACACACACGGCTTTTACAGTTCATGCGATAGGCAGTGTCTAGAAAAAATTGTTACTAAATCCCCAAACATGTAAATGCCTATTTAAACACAGTGTCTTCTAAAATTTGTTTTGTAAGAAAAGTAATCTGTAAACATCTTTACCTTTAGCTCATGCTTAGTCATTTGCTGTGGTCATTGTGGAAGGAGTGGGTATGACTTTACAACCATTTGTGAAGTGGTCCACCTTTGCAAAAATATTACATCCCATGGGTAAAGAACAAGTCTTAGAATTACCATGTGGTACAAATTTATGAAATCAATTTCTGTATTTAAAAACATAAAACAAAGACTACTAAACAGTCCAAAACTGTTGTAGCTGAATATTCTAAATACGAGCCAACTGTACTACACTAAAAATGTCCAAAAATAAGGCCTCTGAAATAAATATTTCCATTCTTTAAAAAAAGACATAATAAATGTACATCACATGGTCAGTGTACATATAAAAGCCATCATTTTAAACCATCCTGGATGACGTATCTGAAGTAAAATGACCTAGGTTTTGCTTCTGTCGTCGTCCTCTATTGTTTTTAGGGCATTTTCTGTCGAGTAAAAAAAAAAAGAAAAAAGAAAAAGAAAAATATTATTTTTGTTTAGGATACTCAAATGTTTCCAAAGTAATGCACATTTCACACATAAAAATGTATTGCATGCCCTCCCACGAAAGGGAAGTAGGACGCTAGTTGGTATAAGACAAAGTGAGGACCCAATGTGTCAGACTGCTATCTTCCCGATAAAGTGGGGAGGTGGAGGGTTAGATATACGTTGCAGGTCTGGACATGTGCACAATTCATTTCCAGGGTGTCTATTGCTGACTTGCATCCCCAAGAGGAATCCCGCCCTTCCTCTGGCCTGCAAATCAACCCCACCCCCACCCCGCCAGAAACTGGTAACATATATTTTCCCTGGAAGTAATTCTATTTTCCCTGAACATTGACACCCCCAAGATGATAGGAGAAATGACACCCCTTAGATGAAGGGAGAAATCAGGAAGAAATATACTTATTTAACCCCCCATAGGAATACATAGGAAATGCCTAGAGATTTTAGGCAATGACTACAAGACATTCCACCGCCTTGCCTCGGCAAACCACAGAACCCAATAAAGTACAGCCATGCTGTGGGTAAGGGGAATTCCTGGACTCCGCTCTCATTTTACCGCACGTGTTCCTCCCTGTGGTATAAATCTCACTGTGCTGTAACTGTGATCATTCCTGTCCAAAGAATGCAAACATAGGAGCTCTTATTGTGTCTGCACAAAGCACTGTGTTCACAATGTGGGATCCAGGGACTGGGATGAGTAATGTTGAGCTTGAGCTCTGCTAAAAAATAACGGTGCAACCTTCTTCTCCTATACATAAAATTTTAAGAGTTGGACTAACTTCTAAAACCTCTGCCAGCAAGGAATTTATTACCTTGCCCTGGCTGGGTGGCTCAGTTGGTTGGAGCATTATCCTGTCCACCAAAAGGTTGCAGGTTTGATGCCTCGTCAGGGCACACACCCAAGTTACAGATTGATTCCCGGTCAGGGCACATATGGGAGGCAAGCAATCTCTTCTCTTCTCTTCTCTTCTCTTCTCTTCTCTTCTCTCCTCTTCTCTTCTCTTCTCTCTTCTCTCTCTCCCTTCTCTCTTCTCTCCCTCCCTCCCTCCTTCCCTTTCTCCTCCCTTTCTCTCATTCTCACTCTCTCTCTCTCTCCAATTAAAAAAAACATGTCCTTGGATGAAGATACAAAAAAAAAAATGTTAAAGTAATTTATAATCGAATGGAAAGAAAGTCTTGCATAATGAGTACTCCAAAATTTCCATATTTTTAGTCACTTTCAAAGAGCAATGCATTGCCTTGTTTTAAAAGCCTTGGTGGTAACAATCCAAATTCATATATTGTTTTTCACAAATGTTATCTCACGAATCTTCATTAAAAACACTTTGAGATACTGCTGGAATCATCGCTATTTCCTAAATGGGGAAACTGGTTGAGAAGACAATCGACACCTCTTTTAATTGTCACTAATTCACTATGATCTGGAAAAGTTCCAATTCCCTGAGGCCATGGCTTTTTCATCTATAAATTAAGGTGTTTTGTCTAGGATGATGTCCAAGGTCCTTGCCAGTCAGCCATTCTATGAGTCAAAAACAAGAAAATGGATTTCAAGCATAAAAGAAAACAATGTTACTCATGCAGTCCTGATGAGTGGAGTCAGCCGGAACATCCTTTTAAAGGAAGATTCCTGGTATGTAACAGCCACCATGGGATAAGTGAACAGCTGCTCCATAATGGACTGCAAGGGAGAGGCAATCCCTAAAAATTCAAAGGAGACAAATCCAAGTAATCTATATATATAAAAGGCTAATATGCAAAGTGTTCCCTCGGTAGTTTGACCAAGAGTTCGATTGCTCACGATGACGTGCGTGCGCTGACCACCAGGGGGTGGCTGGGAACATGGCGGGTAACCAGCAGCAGCTGGGTGCTGAGGGAGCAAGGGAAGGAGAAGGCAGGAAGGTGGGGAGGCAGGGAACCTGATTGGCCCTCATCACTGGCAAGGCCTAGGGACCTTACCTGTGCATTAATTTCATGCACAGGGCCTCTAATTATAATTATAATATTCTAAATCCAAGAGAGCAAGACATTCTAAGAGAGAAAATACCAAATAAAAAGACAGGCCTCAAGGACAGACTTATAATAAGTCAACGAGATGACTCTTTGGTCGTGGAGGCCCATGGGTGGTAAAGATATGGTAACCAGTTAAAAATATACTGTGAGGGCAGCAAATTGGTCTGTGGTATAAACTGGAGGATATTAACTTGAAAACTACAAACCAAATCATTTAATATAGTAGCTGAGGATTACAGCACACAGAGAACAGGCACGTAGCGCTGGATAAAAGGCTGGACTAGGATTTGTACCCAGGCTTAATGTCCTCTCTGATCTTGGGTAAGATGCTTCCCCTCCCAGGGCTGCAGTTTCCTCGTTTCTCTAGAACGAAGGGGTTGAACTAAAGTTGCTTCCCGCCGACTCTGACATCCTTTCATCTTCTTCAAGATAGCACTGTCACTGGATTTCAAAATCTGCCCTTACCTCCACCTTAATTATTTCTCTCACCTTCCAAATCATTTACTACTCCATTAGTCCTTTACTCAAATATAATGTCCTAAATAGTCACCCCTGACCTCATATTTCTCTCCCACTGAATTTTGCAGATGACATTCAAAGTAATGCTCTGGGGGGGAAAAAAAAAAAAGAAAAAAAAAGTTTTATACCAATCCCACCCCCACCCTTTTCAAAACCCTGAAAATGAAATTGGAACCTTGCTCCCATGATGTTCACACTTAGCAAATATGATTCCCAAGATGGTTCATTGGGAAGAGGAATGGGCAGCACTCCATCCAGTCCAGGCCCTTCCACTTACTACTTTGGGTGACCACAGACAAATGCCGTAACCTCTGAGAGCCTATTTTAGGTGGCCACAGGCAGGCCTGCTGTTGCCTGTGTTTGTGGGTGTGTGTTTTTTCCTTCCTATCTTCTCTCTCTACAGTCATTATTTTTTATATCATTATGTCCCTACTTTCATCTACTGCCCAATTTTATACTCAGTCGTCTTGCCAAAGGGCAGATCATCTGTTCTACAGAATAAAATCCACTGACTTTAGTGCTTGAATTTCATGAAAAATATCTATTACTCAGAAAACACTTTTTTTATTATCATTTCTAGATTTATCATTCCAGCTCCAGATGGCTGAGACTACTGAAGGTCTGGCTGCCATCCAGACCTTGGGTAGAGTCATAAATCCTCTCTGGCCTGCCAATCTCTGTACTTGATATGCTCCACTCCTCTGCCCAGAATAAGGCAGAAAAGTATACGGATGATGTTTATGAAACGTCTGAACCAAACCTTAAAGGAGGTAAGGAAGAGGCAAGCAAGACAAGGCTCGAGACTGGAAAACATACAGACAATATGACCCTGATTTGCTTTGACTTTTCTCATGTCCAGGTCAGTTCTGACTTAGATATTTCAGCTCAGCGTGGGAAACACCCATTTTGTGCTAACTGCAGTCCAAGTAGTCCTTTCATGTGCGGCTTAGTTATGCTACGTTCCAATGGTTTTAGTTGTACTATAGAATTTTAAAGTTTAGTAGCCATGACTGTATTCCAGAAAATGAATTAGTGTTAAGATCTACCTAATAAAAGAGTAACATGCTAATTGACCGTACCTTCACGACACCCACCAGTCAATCAGGAGTATGCAAATTATATACACAGGCATCGAGCGGCTGGGGGCGGGGCGGGATGCTTGCGTCATCGCCATGGCGATGATGCAGGCATTCTGCAGCACCCCAGCGGCTCAGGGCCTCTGGGCAGCATGGGAAGGCGGAAAGGCAGCTCAGAGCTGGAGTGGAAAGGTGGCTCCGCCCAGAACGAGGGCGGTGCCGGTAGCCAGGGGAAGGAAAGCCCATTCTTGCACAAATCTTCGCGCATCGGGCTTCTAGTAATGATATAAGAAGCAAAGCAGTTTTCTTTAACTTCTGGTTTCTTCCTTTCTTGTTATATTTACTACAAATAAAGTATATTCTTAGGACATAAAACACCTTGCAGGTCAGCAGGGCTTGAATACTGTCGGCATGGCTTTTCTGTGCGTGTGCAGACCACTCCAAAGAGACTGCTGTTATCGTCACTGTCGCCAAGTGCAATGCTCAGAACCAACAGACCATTCTAAGATCCCTAAATTCCTTTGTGCCAATGAATATCCTCATGCTCCCTCTACCTGCAGCTCAGACAGAACCAAGACCCTGAGAATGAGTTTCTGCCCATCTTCTAAAGAGGCAAGACAGGCAGAGGTCAGACCCACATGGGACCCTAGGATTTTTTCCTAGTAGACTAGTGGACTTAAAAGCCCCTATACCATTTACAGTGAGCTTCAAGGCTCTCCTTTAATTTGACAGCTACCCACCTCTAATCTTAAGCTGTTATCTGTTAGGTCACCACCTACCTTGTTATGCACATGACAATAGCTACTATAATGGCAATCTGCACAGCTCCGATAATGGCTGCGATGAGAACGTGAGTGAGCTTTTGCCTGCTTGGCACTACGTAGAGAATACTAAAGTCCGTCTTTTCACAGTGCTGTCCAGTGTAACCAGATTCGCATCTGAAAAGGCAGGAGGGAAGGAATTTCTATGAGAATTACAAATTTCAACAATTTTAGGTTTTAAAATTAAAAGGTACAAAAATGATCTATTTTAACAGGCAGAGAAAATCAGGCACCCTCCCACCATCTAAAAAAAATAAAAGCCATTTGTGGATTTTCTTACACTCTTTTTAATGTATCTATTTTACATGGAGCTTTTACCCCCCTCTGGTTCATTATATCACATTAATTTTTAAAGTTGCTAGTCTTTATTATCTTCACTCAAAAATAGGTAAATAACATTTCATTCAGTGACTATAACAGAGCTAGCTTATCTACTTCTTATTCTAAGACATATCAGTTATTTTCCATTTTTCACAATTATAAATTAGGTATGGTGAACATCTTGGTTGAATGTACACTGTTGTATATTAGTGTTATTCCTTAGGCTAGATACATATAAATGGGATTATTGAATAAATAGGTATAAACGTTTACAGTCCTTTGAACATAGCACCAAATTATAGTTGAGACACCTTTCAGTGTACATAATATCATCACTTAAGATGCAGGCAGGAGATAAGTTATTAATAATAGAAATGAAGATAAGCAGTTGAGTAGTTGCTGATCTTAGAAATTATCTAATTACAATTAAAAGTAAATAAAAAGGCAACACTACCATGATAATAATAGTATGACAGGATGAAACATTTAAGATAGTTAACAGAGCTGAAACCGGTTTGGCTCAGTGGTAGAGCGTCGGTCTGCGGACTGAAAGGTCCCGGGTTCGATTCCGGTCAAGGGCATGTACCTTGGTTGCGGGCACATCCCTGGTAGGGGTGTGCAAGAGGCAGCTGGTTGATGTTACTCTCTCATTGACGTTTCTAGCTCTCTATCTCTCTCCCTTCCTCTCTGTAAAAAAAATCAATAAAATATATATATTTTTAAAAAGATAGTTAACAGAAAATTTACAATGTTAGTTGACAGAAGTAAAATGCATGAATTAGGCAGCCTTCGGTTGGAAATGATTAATAAAACATCTGGAGTGCACAGACAGTGTATTTATTCATGTCTCACACTTCATTACAAAAAATAAAAAGCTTTTTAAACGAAGCATTTATAACAACAGCAAAGAAACCTGGGGACAGGGATGAAACAGGGATGATGTGAGTCCACCAATCCCAACCAACCCTGAGGCTCCTGTCAGCAGGTGTCACATTGGGCTCTAAGCTTCCTAGCAGACAAAAAAAAAAAAAGAGGGGGCAGAGGAGGCATAGTAAGGTAGATATATAGACTATGGGGTAGAACTGAGGGCCCAGAAATGCACCCATACATTTATGGTCAACTGATGCCTGACACAGTGCTAAGACAATTCAGTGGGGACAGAACAAGTCTGTTCAACAAATGATGCTGGGACAACTGGACAAACACATACAAATAAATGAAGTTGGACCTCTTCTTCACAACATACACAAAAATTAACTCAAAATGGATCATAAATCTAAAACTAAGAGCTAAAACTATAACTAACACTCAGGGGGAGAAAAGAAAAGTAAATCTTCATATCTTTAGATTAGGCAATGATTTCTTAGATATGACCCCAACAGCACAAGCATCAACAACAAAAATGTTAAATTGAACTACATGAAAATTAAAATCTTCTGTACATAAAGACACTATCTGGAAAGTGAAAAGATAGCCCGCAGGATGGGAGAAAATTTTTGCAAATTATATATCTGATAAGAGACTTACTTATAGAATATATAAAAAGCTATAACAACTCCTTAACAAAAGATGCAAAAAGGGCAAAAGATCTGAACAGACATTTCTTCAAATAAGAAGTACAAATGGCAAATAAACACACAAAAAGATAACAACACCATTCACCTTCGTTCAGAGAAATGTAAGTCAAAACCACAATAAGATACCTCTTCATATCATTAGAATGGCCAGGATAAAGAAAATCAGATACTAGCCGAGACCGGTTTGGCTCAATGGATAGAGCGTTGGCTTGGGGACTGAAGGGTCCCGGGTTCGATTCCGGTCAAGGGCATGTACCTTGGTTGCGGGCATATTCCCAGTAGGGGGTGTGCAAGAGGCAGCTGATCAATGACTCTCTCTCATTGATGTTTCTAACTCTCTATCTCTCTCCCTTCCTCTCTGTACAAAAATCAATAAAAATATATTTTTAAAAAAAAGAAAAAAAAAAAGAAAATCAGATACTAACAAATGTTGGCGAGGATACTAATGAAAATGTAAAATAGTACAGCCCCTTTTAAAAATAGTCTAAAATTTCCTCAAAAACTTATAAACAGAGTTACCATTTGGCCCAGCAATTTCACTCTGCATTTACCTGAGTGAAATTAGGTATATATCCATACAAAACCTGCAAACAATTACTCAGGGCAGCATTACTCATAATAGCCAAAAAGTGGAAACAATCCAAATACTCATCCATCAGTAAGTGGATTAAAAAATGTGGTGTTATCCATTCAATGGAATTCATTCAGCTATAAAAAGGAACAAAGTACTGACACATGCTACAACATGGATGAACCTTAAAAAACACAATGCCAAGTGGAAGAAGCCAGTCACAGAAAACTACATATCATATGAGTCCACTTAAATGGAATGTCCAGACTAGGTCAGTCTAGAGAGACAAACAAATTAGTGGCTGCCTACAGCTGAGGAGGATGGGAAACTTGGGAGTAATAGCTAACGGGTATGGAGTTTCCTCCCGGGGTGATGAAATGTTCCGAAATTCATTGTGCGGATTGCAACACTCTGCAAATATACTAAAAAACCATTGACTTGTCCCTCAAAAAATTAAACAAAAGAGAGTGGTAACATCACTGACACAGAATACAACCTCCACAAAATAAAATCAAAGCAGCTGTTCAAAAGAACCACAGTTGCTATTGTTACTAAATTCAAGGGAACGTTATCTCACCGGTCCTCATTAAGAGAGGGGCAACCCTCTGGGACAGAGGACACCAATCCTCAGCGATGCAGCTGCAATAAATTCAATAATATGAGCAAGTCCCTTAGGAGTTTTTAAATAATCTTTCATGGTAAGCTAATGGCCAGAAGTCAAAGCTCAGTAAAATAAAAAGTTCCACAGGGAGCTATAACACCGTCCCAGATATGCAGCGCGCTTGACAGTTAAGCTTAATCCAAAGATTAAAATCAGAATATAAAAAAAGAATGTATAGGCCATTTATTGTTCAGGCCATCCTCCCTTGGATACCATTTTCCTGCAACTCACGTTGAGTTATGCTCTCAAAACACCTTGAGTATTACCTTCTAGGTGATTACTTTTTCGTCCTCTATTCATTAAAGGCAGATCCGGGCTATGCTGCCCTCCATTCTTTCACTCCACAAGCCCTCCACAGTAATCCCATTCACTCCCATGGCCTCAGGTGCTGATTCATTCAACTAACACTTTACTGAGCACCTGACATGTAGCAGGTACTGCAGCGGGCATTGGGGAAACATCAATGAGCAAAAGAAATAAAGATCCCAGGCCCGGTTACCCTCCTGCTGGGGAAGGAAGGGTCAATACACATAATAAGTAAATGAAATGGTTGTTTTATAAGGTGATAAGTATGACAGTAAGGTTTTGTTTGCTTGTTCTGTTTTGTTTTTGAAAGCAGGAGGAGAGGAGGAAAATGAAAGAGTCTGGAGAGCCGAAACCGGTTTGGCTCAGTGGGTAGAGCATCAGCCTGCGGACCGAAGGATCCCAGGTTCAATTTCGGTCAAGGGCATGTACCTTGGTTGTGGGCACAACCCCAGTAGGGGGTGTGCAAGAGGCAGCTGATTGATGTTTCTCTCTATCCCTCTCTCTTCCTCTCTGTAAAAAATCAATAAAATATATATATTAAAAAAAAAAAAAAAAGAGTCCGAAGAAAGGAGCTAGAGGAGTACAGAAGCCAAGAGACCTGATTTCAAGTGGCCTCTTTGACTTCTTAGAAAGAGTCACTGGCCGAAATCAGTTTGGCTCAGTGGTAGAGCATCGGTCTGCGGACTAAAGGTTCCCAGGTTCGATTCCAGTCAAGGGCATGTACCTTGATTGCGGGCACATCCCTAGAAGGGGGTGTGCAAGAGGCAGCTGGTGGATGTTTCTCTCTCATCAACGTTTCTAGCTCTCTCTCTCTCTCTCTCTCTCTCTCTCTCTCTCTCTCTCTCTCTCTCCCTTCCTCTCTGTAAAAAATCAATAAAATATATTATAAAAAAAAAAAGTGTCACTGGCTTGGAGACTGACAGAACAAAAGAGAAGTAGACTATTTCCCCATGTTTCAATGTTTTTACAAAGAAAAGAAAAAAAAAAAAAAAGGGATTCTGGTGGAACTTCGGGAGGCAGGAGTGAGCAGAATAGCCCATCTCCCCGCATCTACGGAACTGGACCAACCTGAGGGAGGGGATGAGCTCCAGGCCGCAGCGTTAAGAAGTGCTATTGGCAGACAGAACAGCACAAAGCGCTACCGTAGGTTGAATATCAGAAAACCAGGGCTCTAATTTTGTCCCAACTCTATTTGTAACTTGCTGCTAACTGTGAACAAGTCACATAATCTCTCTGGAAGCAGGCAGGTTTGCACCGTTTCCGTTTCCCTCTCTCCCATCACACCTGGTTCTACATCCTCATCCCCTTATTTTTAGACGTCTATTTTAGCACACATTCTGAGCTACATGTTCTCTGTTCTTCACACTTTCCTCAGTCCCTCAACCACCTTAGGGCAGATTGCCTAACAACCAAAGAGTGTTGAAGTAAGGCACACTTATTTTTATATGAAGATATATAGCATTATATTCAAAAGATTAAATCTCAAAATCCTAATACAGTGCTGTTTTTGCATATTATCTGCCAACATTTTTTTGAAATGACGCTTTTTCAAATACCTCCACTGCAAGTAAACAGTATTTTTTGGTAACAGCTCATCCACATTTCATTGCCTTATATGGAGCAGCGACCACCGACGGGAATAAAGTGTTTCATCGCTGACCTGGAGGGACCGACTTACCTACAAGAAGCCTTCTGAGTAGCATAGATGAATTCGCACTTTCCATGGATGCAGTAACCATTGAGGTTTTCAGGGCAAGGCATGTGGTTTCCAATATAAACATCCTCTCTTTGATCACTAGCATCTTAAAAGAGCATAAACCAGGTCGATAAATAATGAAAAGCAAATTGAGAAATAGGGACTTTTCAAGGGATCTGAGACAATAAGTAAATTCACCCCTTGCTGGGTAATTTGGAAAGGAAATTTATCAAGTAGCAGGATGGATAAGAATCAAGGTCACACAATGCCAGAAGCACAGCAGGTAGACTGTTTAGACTCAAAGCATTTGGTAGTGTTTGCAGGATGTGACCACTATGAGCTCCTGTTGGTTAAAAACAATCTGCCAAAAAACAACATAAAAATAACCACACACAACATCTTTGTTAAAGGCATAAATGTGACTTCTATGAAAAAGCTCATCTCTGACAGAGAAATGCTGCATATACCACTGGCTTTTGGAGAATCAACGTATTCTGATCCTTTACCAAGGGGCTATGAAATTGGGGCCAAGGAACACTGGAATGGCAGAAAGTTATAGGATTCTGAAATTCTAAAATTTTTTGGAATAAACACTAACAAGCATACTGATTTTCTTCCAAATGAAAATAGTTTTGCTATTCTTTTTATACAGCATGTTTAGTATATGTTAATATAAAAAAATTTTAAATAATACAGGGGACAAAAGATATTTTAATCACCTAAGATCTCCCTATCCATAGAAAACTGTTATAAACATGCTGATGAACAGCCGTTCAGACATAGGTATACTGGTTTGAACTAAACTGAACTGAAGTGAAGAAAATGGAAGTGTGCTGGGTAATTCCACTGTCAGAAATGGGAAAAGGGTCAGGAAGGAAAAACGGAAAGAAGCAGGATAGACGAAGACATAGGGACCCAGTCTTCAAAATCAATCATATTCATTCCTTCATACTCTCTATCCATCCCTCTCTCTTTTTTTAACCAGGAAACGGCACCTTTAATTTTCAGTGATCTGCTACATCATGGGGAGTATTTTTGGGGGGTACTTTTATCTAAAGTTTTACATGTCTCCTCCCTGCCCCCGTAGCCCCCCCATAGATCCACCACCACTCCCCCCACCCCCATTCCCATCCCTGAGGGCAAGCCCCCACCACCCCAGTGTCTCCGTCCATTGGTTATGCTAATATGCTTGCATACAAATTCTTTGGTTGACTTCCCCTGTCTCTGGATCTATTTTTGTTCATCATTTTACGTTGATCATTATATCCCATATATGAGTAAGATTATGTGATATTTATCTTTCTCGGACTGGCTTATTTTACTTAGCAGAATCTCTCTCTCTTTCTCTCTCTCTCTCTCTCTCTCTCTCTCTCTCTCTCTCTCTCTCTCTCTCTCTCTCTCTCTCTCTCTCATACTTACATACACATACTCATTCACAAAGCCACACATTTTAGAATGGATTTTTGTACTTTTTTTTTTGGTACATTAATCTATGGACTCAGAGTTCCCCAATGTGTACAGGCCTGTCAATTTCCTATTTCCTGCTGTTTCTTTTGACAGTTCCAGCTTACAGATTCTGTGTATTATTAGCTATGTGACCTTGAGCATTCTGTTCTCTCTAAGCTTGACATTGCATAACTGCAAAATCAGAATCATAATAGGGCCTATACATCATGTGGTTTCAAGGACTACATGAGATAATTACTGCATGTACAAGACTCTAAAACAACCAGCTAGCACCCATGTAACAGCAAAGGCTTATCTCCCCCAAATACAAATAAAGGTGCTAATATAATTTGAAGAATGTTAATGGAAACAAAAAGGAGTAAAATAGGAGGGTGTGTGTGTGTGTGTGCGCGCGCGTGCATGTGCGTGTGAGAGAGAGAGAGAGAGAGAGAGAGAGAGAGAGAGAGAGAGAGAGAGAGAAGAGCGAGAGATAAGTGGGAATAGAGGTGCCAACTGCAGAAAAAACTGAGAACTAAAATGTAGATTTTTCTGAAGATCAAAATCTATACTAATAAAAGGGTAACATGCTAATTAGACCAGGTCGACTGGCCATCTTCCAGACATCCAAAGTCCTTCCGGACAAAACCATAGTGTTGGAGGCCGAGGCAGAGGAAGTTAGGGGCTATCAGGCTGGCAGGGGGTTAGAGGTGATCAGGCTAGCAAGGGAGGGCAGTTGGGGGCAACTAGGCCAGCAGGGGAGGGCCATTGAGGGCAACCAGGCCAGCAGGGAAGGGAAATTGGGGGCATTAGGCAGACAGGTGACTGGTTAGGAGCCAGTGGTCCTGTATTGTGAGAGGGATGTCTGACTGCCAGTTTAGGCCCGATCCTGGCAGTCAGACATCCCTTGAGGGGTCCCAGATTGGAGAGGTGCAGGCTGGGCTGAGGGACACTCCAACCCCTCCCCCTTTCTCCCCTATGCATGAATTTCATGCACCGGGCCTCTAGCGGGAGATAAAAAAAATAAGACACATCCGGTCCTCAAAGGGCTCACAAGGTCTCCTCCAGCTCCCAAATGGTCATTCTGCTGTGACAAAAGAATCAAGCCCTTTTGTGCACTGCTGAAATCCTGAGCACCCACTTGTCTACCTCAACACACATGATATTGTTGTATATTTGGGGGTTTTCAATCAATTGCTACCATGAGACTGTGAGAAGCCTTTGAGAACCCAGACATTTGTGTTACTCATTTCTGTATAACTCTTAACACTTGGAAGGTCGTACTTTTCTTGCTCTGGTTTAAAACTAAAAGTGCTATTCTACATTTGAACTCAAGCCATAAGTGGCGGAAGGGGAAAAGCACTGTCTCCCATAGCACCTATCACCTCGCACCTCTCAGAACATGGTTCCTTCCTGGTATCACACACAAGGAAGTATGTAATGGGACCATAGAGACTAAGGTTATGCACCAGCCTATGATAATAATAAAGTCCTATAAGGTGTGTAACAATAGGACTGGATAGTCTGATGAGACTGTGATAATGTGCTAATCTACCATAAGAAAGTCCTATAAACAACAGAAAATTTCAAGAATAATGTGGAGCTGAAAGCTAGCAGGATTCAGCTACATGAAAGCAATGAGAAAAAGTTAACTAATTTAAAAACAGTATTTTGAGGAATTAATAGACAAAGTATGGCCCCAACAGCATTTACTGAATGAATTAATCAAAGAATGTGGCGTTAAGCTCTAGACAAAAGGAAGCTGTATAAAACATGAACGTGTCTAATAAAACTTTGAAGTCTGTGGCTGTCACAGAATCCAAATTCGGCATTATGCTCAGTACCAATGATATTCATTCCATTCTATTTACATACTATTTCTGTGCACAGCCATATGCTCAGCTATTCTATACAAGTTATTTATTGAAAGTATACATGGTCCCAGTCCTGAAAAAGTTTATAATCAATTTAGGAAATCAACATATACACACAAAAAGCTGAACAAACCCCAGCCGGTTTTGCTCAGTGAATAGAGCATTGGCCCATGGACTGAAGGATCCTGGGTTTAATTCCAGTCAAGGGCACAAACATCAATTGCAGCTCAATCCTGGACCCTGGTCGAGGTGTGTGCAGGAGGCAACCAATTGATGTCTCTCTCTCACATCAATGTTTTTCTCTCTCCCTTCCACTCCCAACAAATCAATGGAAAAATACCCTTGGGTGAGGATTAACAAACAAAAAGCTGAAAATACAAGGGAAGAAGGAAGAGAAGTGTGGCTCAGTAACTGAAAGAGCATTGGTACTTAGATATGAAAGTGACACATCATTAGTGACTCTTGCCAAGACAGGGATGGGGGAAGACTAGGAGAGCTGGAGACCTTGATCTAAGAGTTAGTCCAGGAGTGGACGTATAGAGGAATGGTGGAAAGCAAAAGGAAGGTAGGGCACAATTCTCATGAACAAGTAATAGATGAACCTACAAAGATCTGTACATTCAGACTGGGGAAGGGTATAAAGGAAAGTTGGAAAAATAAGGTAAAGACAAATTATGGGGGAAAATGAACTCCGTGAGAAATGTTTTCTTAATTGTATGAAGAATAACACAATGAAAGCTGTGTTTTACATAAAAAATTAACCAAGAGAGCTGGTGGTTAAGGGGGATGGAGAGTAACTGCTAGTGGGTGTGAGTTGTTTTCCTGGGAGAGTAATGAAAATGTTCTAAAATTAGATTATGTTGATGCTTGTACAACTCTGTAAATATAACAAGAACACAATGAACTGCACATTTTAAACAAGTGAACTTAATAGTATGTAAAGACTCAAAAAGCTCTGAGGAAAAAATAATTGGATACCAGCCTGGAAGATAAGGGGGCAAGAGAACTAGGAAGACCAATTAGGAGGTCACTACAGAATCCAAACTTGTGACACTGAAAAAGCTAAGCTAGAGTTTAGCAGTCGGAATAGATATTAGAGATGCGGAAAAATAGATATGGCTTGAAGTTGCTTTGGAAAGAAAATGAGCTAAAGAACTCAGATCTGGAATGGTCCCTGAAGGTTCTCTGGTCCGACGAAGGAATCCCTTTAGTTAATAACCCTGAAAGCCTGTTTTCTTTCTGCATACTTCCAGAGGTTAGAAACACAACTTGATACAGTTAATTTCAATATTACCAAATTTTCTTATGTTAAATAGAATCTCTCTTCCTTGAACTTCCTGTAGATTTCCCCCATGTCTATTCACCCACTAACTCATTGCCCACCAATTATTTTTCTTAAGGTCAAACTTCCCCAGTCCAATCCTTTAGATAGTTTGATACAACCATCTGTAAGAGTGGTGCCCAGCCCTGGCCGGGGTGGCTCGGTTGGTTGGAACATCATCCTGTACACCAAAAGATCGTGGGTTTGATTCCTGGTCAGGGCAATGCCCAGGTTGTGGGTTCGATCCCCATCGGGGTGTGTGCAGGAAGTAACCAATGTGCTCTCTTTCTCTCTCTCTCTCTCTCCTCTCTCTTCCTCTCTCTCCTCTCTCTCTCCCCACCCTTCCCTTTCTCTCTCTCTCAAATCAATAAAAATATATTCTTGGGTAAAGATTAGATTAAAAATTTTTTAAGAAAGACCAAGGCTAGAGAATAAATTTTGCCAAGATGATAGCTGATGGTAGATTACCTATTTGGAAGGAAATTAAGAAAGAAAGCAAGGGGAGCAGAATAGAATTCTGGAATAGCTGTGATAGAAGGTAAAGAATGCCAGGGTTTAGGGTCAGAGAGTCCTTGCTCTGTCATTCTACACAAGCCACAAAATCTCACAGTTTCAGCTTTTTCATCTACAATATGAGGACAACATGATGTAATGAGGATTCAATAATAACACAAACATGTGAAAGCACTTGGCCCATGGTAGGGTATTCAATTGACAATTGCTGAATGGTGAATGCCCTACGGAGGTTCCTCATGAACCAATGAACATGCTATAGATGGGAGGACCTCTGAGCACACAGCCAGGCTACCGACAAGGAAACTAGAAAGCAAAAGTATCAACAATTCCCATATTAACATCAATAATAAATTCAATGATGTGGCATTTTAATACTCAGAGAAATCCTGGGTGGCAGATATTAATAGCATGTTATAGATGCGATGATTGAGGTGCCGAGAAATCAGGCCACACAGCCTGTAGGTGTGAACCGAATCTGACCCGTGAGCACAAGGGCTTTACCGTAACACTACTATGCCAGCAAGCTACCCTGGGAGGGGTGTAGGGAGTGGACGAATGCAGCATGTCCAAGCACCTGCTCTCTAGGCCAAGTACATTAATAACTCCAAAAGGGAAAAATTAAAAAGGCTGTCACGATGCCAGAAAGCAGGGGCAGAAGCAGAGCCTTGCACAGCAAGAGCTGGGCACAGACTGGTCCTGTGTAAACAATGTCCTCAGGCAAGTGGTGACAGGCAGGCTCCAGGAATCACAGCTGCGGCCGTTGGTGCCCGGACAATGTTTGGTGTGTCTGCGCCACACAAAGTGTTACTTGGTCACCCGGCAGCTCCTCCCACCCAGAAACAAATCCTGCGCCAGCAGCAGTGTTTTCAGACTCAAAGGAGAGTCTGGTTCTAAGGGACCGTGAGGTCAGAAAGCCCAGCGCCACATGGTGTATCTGCAAAGGCATGTTCGTCCCACTGGCGATCCATCCTGGCCCATCAACAAACCATCCAAACAAAGCACAGGGAGTTGTACCAACAACCAAGACATGCATTTTGAAGGTCAACTGCTAAAGCCACAACTACACCAATACCATATCCGTAAGTCTGGGGCTCCTTATTTCTACAAATCCCCCATTAAAACCTACACTATGTCCTTTCTTTCTTCCCCTATACTACCTAGCACCTCAAGCTTCATCACTAACATGTCTCTCTGCATATCCTTCCCTAACCCCAGCCTTCCTGGACCCCGTCAAAGAATTTTCTACCTAGGTAAAAATGCCTACCCACCTTCCAACACCTGCCACTACTCTTTCATTTCTAAATCTACTATTTTTCACACCAACCTTTCACCTCTTCCTGTCCTAGCTTTCCCACTCTGTTCAGTGAAACACCTTTTCTAATGTGAATAAATGCATCCACCTTCTCATTGCCTTAGAAAATATTCCTTTTGCCTCCCTGACATAACAAGATCACATTACTTTCCAAAACACCTCTCCTCCCACCTCCTGCTATGGTCACCTCCAGATCAGCATTCCATCCTCTCTCCCAACAGCCTTCCTCTTTAGGGGTCTGTGCCGTCCACCTCTACACATCCTTCTAACTATCCTCATCATGACTCTCCACCACGCTCCACAACACACCCCCTCAGACTTCCTAAAAGGTGATTTTAGCAACTGGCTCAGTCTTATCTTTAGATGAGGCAAAATTTTTCAAGACCACTGGTTTTTAGAAAAAGAGAGAGGGGAAGGGAGAAGGAGGGATAGAGACATAGAAACATCAATGAGAGAGAAACTTTATCGATCAGCTGCCTCTTGCACAGCCCCTACTAGGGATTGAGCCCCCAACATGGACATGTGCCCTGACTGGGAATCGAACCACGACCTCTTGGTTCCTAGGTTGACACTCAGCCACTGACTGAGCCATTCCGGCAGGGCCAAAACCATTTTTAAAAGGCAATATCAAAAGAACTGTATGAGAATATATAAACAACAGTCACCAAGCAATGGAATATTTCTCTGGTACTGCTGGTCAGCAGGCAAGGAGACGACTGAGAGAAAGAGGTCATAGGTAGGATGAGGGTAAGGTGAGGAATAGCTCAGGAAAGAAGCAAAAATGTCTTGGTAATAAAAAGGTATTGTGCTCAATTTTAGACTGTATGAAAATATCTTTTGATAAAAAATGGCCTCATTAAAATGTCATACGCCTCAAAGGAACTTCCTGGGTAGATGGAATTATAGATTGTGACAAAGTACAGTGTACATGGGGTGTATCCATTTGTCAAAATTGATAGCTAACATTTGTGTATCTCAGTGCATGTAAATTATACCTCAAAAAAAAATAGTAAAATAAGAATAATGACAAATCAAGTGAATGGGATTATAAAGTCAAAACAAGAATGACAATGCTGATCACCTGTTGAAGAGGAGTATTGGGTACATTATATTATTCTGTTTTCATATGTTTGATATTTTCTATAATCAAGTTTTTAAAATGCCACATACCCATCTCCCACACACCTCACTCTCGACCCTCATATCCTTGGTGCCTTCAACATCTATAACGAAGCTTCTAACACTGCAATTTCCGTTGTTACCGACGGTTTTTCAAGAGGTCAAGAAAAGCATTAATTCAGCCTGCATGCTGGACATTCAAACACTCCATTTCATGATCACTCTCCTCCAGGAGCTCAACTTAAAAGCTCTTTCTTGCTGAGAACTGTCTTATGATTTTTCCAGCTGCTTCCTTTGGTTCTCTGGCTATACCCTCATTCAGTTTCGATGTTCCTATTGGTCCTTTTCCAAGAGTAGTTGTGAGAATCAAAATGAAATAATGGATATGGAAATGAGAAGTAAAAGAGCATTGCATGTGAGGTCAAGGGACCTGAACCCAGCCTCTGCTCAGAACTTTACTGCATGTAAGACTTTGTGCAGATAAATCCTACAGCTGCTTTGAGCTGCATCCATTCTTTGACAAGTATGGAACAGACACTCTACTAAATGTCAGGAACACAAACATGATAGTTACAGCCTCCTGTCCTCACTGCACTCATAGCCTTGAGGGAGATACAGATGAGTAAAAAGGCAACTATAATTAGAGTAGGTTATGTGCTTGGGTAGGGGAGTATATGAGACAGGCACCTAATCTAGATTTAAGGGTGAAGGAATACTTCCCAAAAGGAAATGACTTTTAAGCTGAGCCCGAAATGATGAATAACAGGCAAAGAAGAGTTCCAGGCAGAGGGAACAAGGCTGAAAGACCTGTGCACAGAGGGCAAGTGTTAATAGTAGATTCTACAGAAGTAAAAGAGGATATAAAAAGCAAATATGAGGGATCTTTCCATATAATTTCCTAGAATTGCAAGTCCATAATTATCATAATAAAAAAATTTTTAAAAACATATGTGGAAGTATTCTGTACATTGAGAAGTGCTTTAACTATTTTATTTAATATTATAACTAACTAGAGGCCCAGTGCACAAAATTCTTGCATGGGGTGGCAGGGGAGTTCCCTCAGCCCAACCTGAGCCCTCTCACTGTCTGGGACCCCTCACACCTTATTGCCTTCCTGCTCACTGCTCCTTACCACTCGGCTTGCTGTTCCTTAGCACTGCCACAGAGGCAGGAAAAGCTCCTGCCACTGCCGCTGCGCTTGCCAGCCATGAGCCCAGCTTCTCAGTGAGCATATGCCCCCTGGTGGTCAGTGTGCATCATAGCAACTGGTCGTTCTGGTCGTTCCTCCATATTGGTTGCTTAGGCTTTTATTATACAGCTAATCACTGCAGAATGTATACTGCGTAACAGAGAGCCATGTTGGAAAGGTAATTATAATAGACATAGAATTACTAAGGACAGCTAGTGACCACATTTCAATAGTTGGCCAAAATTTTAAAAGTCATGATTCAGTACCTTTCACATCTGGTCGATAGGGTAGTCCATCGTCTTTCTTTCCCAACACACTAGTGTCGTCTGTGTCTATAAGAGAAAACCGTTTTCAAATTAAGATACATATGATGTGTAAGTCACATCAGGTAAATCCCAATTACAAATGCTGCGGGTCCTTCCCAAGTCTGTTCACTATCGTGCTCACATTCCCCTCCATTCTCTTGATCTATTGTGGCATTTTTGCCTCAGGCCTCGGGCCTCCCAGATGTTCACACGCTCTGCAGGCAAACAGACTGTTTTCATTTAGACTGCACCTCAAATGTCTTCGCCTTAAAAAAGTCTTCCTCTGGCAAACTAAAATAATGCACACCCTGAAGAAAAAGGATTAATCCTTCCTCCAAAGGACAATGGATTAAAGATTTACCTTCTACCATAGTTTCCCTGGAGACGTACCAGATTAAGATAAATATAGAATCTCAGCTTGCTCTCAGACAATTTTACTATAAAAATGACCCCAGACAGTGCACTGCATTTAGACTGGGAAGGCTGTAAATGAAGTACCCGCTGGGAAGCACAAGCTGAAGCTTCCTGTACACAGTGGGGGAGAAAAGGGAAGATGGAGTTAGGTGTGGATAGAAACATTATACAGGGGACCAAAATAAAAGTTAAGGGCCAACTCCTCCAAAGGATTCTAAATCTGCATGAATTTCATTTAATAAAATTCTTAAGCTTGGCCAACCATCTGAATTTGAAATTACAGGTAGTATCATCAACCATGCTCTCCAGTTTTTCTGAGGGGGGAAAAAAAAAAAGATTTTTTTCTCTCCAAGCTCTTCTTTCAACCTAGACTCTAAATGCCACCCCAAGAACGAAAGACAAACCAAACTGCTTCCTTGAGACCAAAGCTAAGTGGACTATCTACTTATTTATCAGCAAATGGTTTCCTCTACCATGCCCTCCTGGAAATCCTCAGATGAGTTTCTTGGGTATCATTTGGTAGCTTAGACCAGAAGTATGGCATATAGTTATGCAGTATTACACAAATAATTTGTTACCAATATAAAGTACCAAATTTTGGCTTAAAATTTTCCCCCTTAGATCAGTTAAAAACATATCCCTTTAATAAATGCAAAAAAGGAAGGAGGTAGGGGTGGGTGGCTAGACCTAATAAGTAAGAACAGTGTACAATGCTAGTCCATGAGCATGTGCCTGGCCCTCGTGTGTTACCAGGAAATAATACATTATCCTAGCCCGCATGCATCTTACTGAGGAAAGAAGGTTTGAAAACATCTGTGCCTGAGTAACTATAGTAGGGATAGAAAACAAAAACTCATTCTTAGTTGGGATTATGGCTTCTAAACTATGACAAAAAAGCAAGAAGAGTAAAAAGAATTTTTACTGAAGATAATCATTTTTCCTTACATTCTATAACTTCACACCGTAAGTTTTAATAGTACATAATATGTAGGGCCAAATACTACAGAGAGGATGTGGAAACAAAGTAAACTATTACGCTCTAGAGCAGTGTTTCCCAAACTTTTGACATATGTGTACCCCTTCTATAATTTTCGTAACGTTGAGTACCCCTCATACTCATGAGAACGTAGAATTAGGCACAGCTAAGCACAGTGCAACGTGTACCCCCACCAAACTCTTCCCATACCCCTGGGGGTATGCGTACAACACTTTGAGAAACACTGCTCTAGAGAAAAAAGATGAAGAAAAGGTGGCAATATTTACAGTTTTACTCTAATTAAGAAACTAACAAGTTGATTAATTCTTAAACAGCTATAATCATTATAAACTTAAGACATCCTTTAAGAGCTATGAACATACCTAGAAATCCATGTTAAAGTCAGCTTCGTAACTAAATAACCAAAAAGCATAGTTTGTGAACTCAGAAGATACAAATAAGTGAGAAAAAAATCTAAAATAGAAATGTAATAAAGAAATTTAAAAGTATAAAAAGAGAAAATAAAGCATGAAGTTCTCATGTAAAAATGTGGGACACTATCAAAGTGTATAAATAAAAGACATACAAATTAAAGAAAAGACTATGGATAAGTAGAATGAATTTTACCTGTGCAATGACCAAGATGCCTTATGTCAATTTGTTCTTGCTTTATACAAGATGCTTCTCGAACAAAACAAGGATTGTTATAGGAACTCCCATCAGAAGCACACACGGGGTTAAAACTGTATCCACTGCAGTCTATATTACATACACACCTGTAGGAAAAGACAAAAATTACCTATATTTTACAACAAATGTATTTCACAAGGCTGCAACCTCAAAGAAGAGAAACTCCGGTGTTCAGTGGACACTAAGTTATATAGGTAAATGTACAGATTTTGAGGACTTCCATTTTATGTTTTATATCTATTATTTATTTCTTAAGATAGATGTTTATTTTCTTTCCTTTAAAATATGTTTATTGATTTTTAGAAAGAGAGGAAAGGAGAGGGAGAGAGAAAAGCATGGATGTGAGAGACAAGCATCGATTGGCTCCTGCACGCCGCCTACTGGGGATCAAGCCAACAACCTGGGAATGTGCTCTGACTGGGAATCAAACCAGCTGCCTTTTGGTGCATGGGACGACCTTCAACCAACTGAGCCACACGACGAGGGCTAAATCTATTATTTTTAAAAACTGTCTTAGTTATTGGGTGAGGAAGGTATACTACTATTACTTCTTTTTTTACAGATCAGTAAACTAAGACTTGGAGGAAGAATCTGGACACAGATCTGATAATTAGTTGGACATGACTTTTTTTTTTAATATATTTTTTATTGATTTTATACAGAGAGGAAAGGAGAGAGATAGAGAGTTAGAAACATCGATGAGAGAGAGTCATCGATCAGCTGCCTCTTGCTGATCGATGACTGGGGATATGCCCACAACCAAGGTACATGCCCTTGACCGGAATCGAACCTGGGACCCTCCAGTCCCCAAGCTGACGCTCTATCCACTGAGCCAAACCGGGCCCGGCTGGACATGACTTTTAAGTCATAATTCTGTGTCCTTTCTAGGATACCATCTTGCTTTCCAATGGATGTTGATGACATCTGACATCGCCTGCTTACTGTATCTAGATATGAAAATCCTAGAGAAACCACTGGAATATTAATTTTAGGATGAGATTGTCGTGAAATTCTTGCCTGAAAGAAATTATTAGCTGAGGATTCACTTTGCTTAATCCAGTCAGGGACTTAAAACAACATGTTGATGTCTGCTACAGAGAGCAGACTACAGAGCAAAAGGGGTTATGAGAAAGGAAGATGGTCCCTCCATAATAATAAAAAATTTCATTCATCTGGAAGATGTAATTCTAAACATTTTTAAATAACCTCAAGATCTATAAAGCAAAAATTGATAAAACCACAATGAGAAATAGCCAAATCCACTATAGCAGGTCTTAATATGCCTCTCTCTATACTCATATATCAAGCAGACATCAGTAAAACTAAAATATCTACAGGTGAAAGACATGATGCTGGGATTTTCTTTAAACTACTTCCCCCACAAAATGTGGGGAGGTAAAAATAGATGAGACAAAACTGGACTTTTTGAAGCAGAGTGATGGACTTATGAGAAAGAATTATGCTCTACTTTTTTTTCTCCTTTGCTTGAAATTTTCCTTATCCCTGGTAAATTAAAGACCTATATTTGAAAGGCAACGTTACAGAAGACCTAGACCAATAAGAGACCAGTAAATTTAACTTTGAAATGAAGAATGTCCCATAAAGAGAACAAACAAAAAAATATATACAGCCCAATTACAAAACGAATAACCGTTATCTAGAATATACAAACAAAAATCTACTTTTAAGGAGTTGAGAACAAAAAGTAGAGCATAATCCCTTCTCATATGTCTTAAGGTTATTTAAAAATGTGGAGGAAAAGGAACCCTCACACACTGCTGGTGGGAAAGCAGACTGGTGCAGCCACTGTGGAGAACAGTATAGAGTTTCCTCAAAAATTCTTTAAAAATGGCTAAAAATTAAATCCATTTAAGAAGTTAGAAAATTAGTAATGAAATAAATCCAATGAAAATAAAAACAGGGAAAATATAGTTGATATAGTTATGAATATATAAGTATAGATATAAAACTATAGATATATATCTTAGCAGAAATATAAAATAAAGTTACAAAATGAAGAAGATCAATACAGCTAAAAGTTGGTCCTTTGAAAAGACTTTCAAACTGACAAAGCAGGATGGGGGGAAGGGGTAAGTAAGAAAAAAGTATTAGGAATAAAAAAGATGACAGACTCAGTGGGAATTATGATTAAAATATTAAGTTATTATAAATGACTGTGTTAGCAAGTTTGAAAACAAGTGAAATTAATAACTTTAAAAATATTAACTATCACCCTAACCAGTATGGCTCAATGAATAGAGTGTCAGCCTGTGGAGGGTCCCAGGGAATTCCAGTCAAGGGCATGTACCTTGGTTGTGGGCACATCCCCAGTAGGTGGTGTGCAGGAGGCAGCCGATCGATGTTTCTAACTCTATCCCTCTCCCTCTCTGTAAAAAATTAATAAAATATATATATTTTTTTAAATAACTATCATATTTTACCAAAAAAGAAATAGAAGCTGAATGATACTATAATCATTAAAGAAATTAAATCAGTTGTTGTTGTGTTTTTTAGAAAAATCCCTTAAAGACAGCATCAAATCCAGGTGTTTTCAAAAAGAAAATCCATGAACACATTAATTCCAAACATTCAAGAAAGAGATAATTCTATTATTACACAAAGCCATCCAGAGACTAGAAAAAACACTCCCTACTTTATTTTATAAAGCCACGTAACCTTAAACAAAGTACAGGTTATAACTCATTGAATAAAAATGAATAAGAGGAAAGCTCATCTTACAGCAGATAGAATACAAAAGATACTGTAATCATAAAGCAAGAATAGGATGTTATACAAAAGGTGCACCATGAGGACAAAAATGAGCTTTGGGAAATTAAAAATGATAGCAAAAACAAAAAGCTCAACAAAGTACTGGAAGATAAAGCTGAAGAAACCTCTCAGTAAGCACAGCAAAAGTATTTTTAAGTAGGAAATAGGAGAGAAGAGAGAAAAGACTAATCGAGGATGTCCAACATGCAAATAAAAGACGCACCAGAAATAGAAAAGAGAGGCAAGAAAATCATCAAAGAGTAAACTGGACGATTTCCACAAGTCCGAAGTCTCTAAGTTTCTAGGAGAGGGCATAACGTTGTGCCATTTCTTGACACTGGGGACCAAAAGAAGCTGGTCTGAGAGAGAAAGCAAATCAAATACAAAAGGGTCAGGAATCGGAATGGCTTTGGATTTCAACAGCAACACTGGGTGCTAGAAGGCAAGAGAGCAACACCTTCACAATCCTGAGGGAAAGTGACCTCCCAGCTAGACTCCTGCCCTTACTGAGTTACAGTATTAGCTGGAGGTGAAAAACGTTTTCAAATATCTTGTTCAAATACCTATTCTCAAGAAGCTACAGAAGGATATACTAAAACGAGAGAGTAAAACCAAGTTCAAAGCAAAAGTTATCAAAAAAAAAAAAAAACCCACACAAACAAACAAATATACACAGAGTATCCTATATTGGGTGATATAAAGAAATTTATAGGATGACACTTGTGGTGTAACAAAAAATATACTTGGTTTTCACCGCTGTTCCTAGCTCAGAGCTCCCAAACTTCTCTTTTCTGTGAGAGCAGAGTCTCTTGTAGGCTAAGGAGATGACTCATAGCTCTTTCTCGAGTTCTGATAATCATTTGAGTCATTTTTTCAAATTATCAAATGCAGGGGAGGCCTCCGAATTAATAGTATGCTGGGCAGAAGTGCAAGAGACGTCCTTTGTGACTAGCGTCTAACGTGGAGCCAGTCTCGTGGGTCTGAACCCTTCACCTGCGGGGTCTGTGCTAACTCCACGTGGAGAATGTCAGAACGGAAATGAAATGAATTATAGGACATGCAGTTGGTACAGAATTGGAGAACTGATTGTTGTTGGAAAAGACACTCATTAAAGGAAGACCCTGAGAAGACACCTACCTACATACACAATGGAAAGGGCAACCAGTCCACACTGAAGTACTTGCCCTCTGTAGCTCTGTAGACAGTGGTGCGGCTGGCTGCCATTACCAAAATACCTAAGGCATTGGGTCCTCTTTTTAGCTGAAGGACAGAGTGCCCAGGTAACCCTGGTCCAGAGTCCGATCTGTATTTAACTTGTCTTGACCGTGCAGTGATGAAGTTCCTAGACTCTCCTCTATGAACCAAATGAGCGTACTCATTTAGCCGATACACCCGAGATCTGGAAGTCGGCCATGGTGAGATCAGAAGGAGAAAACACAACAGCCCACTCCATGAAGGCGTTTCTGCCAGTCACCCATTCTGGCAGGTGTCTCAACTAACAAAGAGCTCTATGTTCCCATGACTCACTCATGGTCCTGCCCACCGGCTTCCTAGGAAGGGAATCTTGTAAACTCTCAGGAAGTGGAAAGCCAGCTCTGACCCAAAGGCTGTTCCATGAACCTTCAGCAAGCCTTCATGTGCAAGTGGCCATCCGACCCTCACTTTTCCATGGCTGGGTTAATGCTTGGCACTGGTAATCCGGCAATGTTCTATTTTGTACTCAAGGTGTTAATAGGGGTAGTATTCTTTAACTTGTGTATTTTAAACACGTCTTTATGCAATGTGGATTTTACAACACAGGTTTTAAATAAGTCATAGACCAGTATGTATAGTGTACTGTCATTAGCTTGGAAAAAAAGGAAAGAAAGAGAAGACGTACTTATTTGCTTGTACGTGCATAAAATCTCTGGGAGATTAAATTAGAAACAGGTTGCAGTGACTGCCCCTACCACAGACAACGGGGAAGCTGGAAAAATGGACCTGTTGGTATAAGGTCTCTTCAAGTTTTGAAATCCTAACATGGCGAATTTCACAAAGGCGTACATAAAGAAATGCTTCAATGACTTCCATGAGTTAGCTCTGTGATTTTTGGCAAGTCACAACTCCTCGCCTCTAGAACAGGGATAATACCTCATAACACTGGTGAAAGAATCAAATAAGCTTTTGGGGAAACTCCTTTGAAGTCATCAAATACGATGCACATCTGAAAGGTATTATTATTATTATTATTATTATTATTATTGAGAAATAACTACCCTTCCCCTTCCTTTCTCCTTACTCTACATAGAAGGTGCCATTCCTTCTCGACAGGGTAAGT